GCCGTGTGCGTGCATCTTGCACTGTTTACTCGTATATCTTCCAACATACAGACACAAACAAGAATGCCTTTGTGTTTATGGCTATTTTCATAAAAGCAGAGAATTTAAAATTCCATACCGCTACACGCATTCGGCCAAGAACTGGGGCGTATTCTAAAATTTAGATTTCCAAACATGTCTACTGGTGCACATAAATGTGTGAGTAACATCAACTACTTGGAGCAACACACTTGTTTGGGGGCACACATACACTTGGAGCACCAAACTGTTCTAGTGTTGCCGTAGTGGAAAGTGGCAGGAAGCTGTGATTGCCACAATTGATCACTCCTCCTATGATTTGATCTGTTTGATATGATAGTACACTGTTTTCTAAGCATATAAATAAATGCGTATGAATTCTTTTGTATGTACGCCTGCTTATATTCACCTACATACATGTATGTTTGGAATACGCACTGACCAATCGTAAAATTTTGAATGCAATATAAACACTTTAAGGGGATACATTGATACATGAGATTTTGAGATACAATTCTTAAAGACTTGGACGATTACAATGTATAAAATCCATTTTCAGTTTTTTTCCTTTCGTCCAAGTTCTAAGTTCAGGTTATAACTAAAACACGTATTTTTTTATTTTAGATGAACCCGTAAGGAGTTATCCTGCCAATGCGGGTCATCGGAAATGGCATCGCAATGGCCAAGCTTAAAATATTTTTTCCAAAAATTTCAGAATTTTTTTTGCTAATACTGTATATTTGTAATAATAAAAAATTCTAATAAAATATATCATTTTTTATGAGAACACAAATTATTGAAAAAATACTGTTTTTAACCGAGAAAATCCATGTAATCCCTTAACAAGATGAAAAGTTTGAAGAATATGTACTCAAGATATTGATGTTAAATCCCCTTCGGAATAATTTAACTGAGACGAAATGTTTAACAGTACTGTGAAGTTTTATCAAATAAATTTATTTAAATGGAAAAGAAAGCAATGTGCTCCAAGATCACTCCACAAACAGGTTGTTTAATATAATGTTTTTTTTTACTACTGGACTATAAAACTTAAAAAAAAAAAGTTTATTTAAAAAAAAAGTAAGGAAGAAATATGTTTGATTGCAATTTTTTATACATTTATGTATAACTCACACACTGACCGAGGTATTCAGCTAGGTTGGTTTACCTTGAATGATTTCGGAGATATGAACATTAAGCTTTTTAGAGGGTGGACCACTTTAATTCTTTTAAAAGTGGCTAATGCAATCGCCAGTGTCAAATTACAGTTCTATATCTTAACAACATTCAACAGTCAATCGGAATGCAATTCGTCTCATCATCTTGATCATTTATATACATATGTATATATTACCCTATATCTATATCCATTAGTTTTAGGTGATTATGGCCAATTTACATAGAACTTTTGACCTCTTTGCGTCAGACAGTTGTTTTGACAAAAAAGTTCGATGTACGCATTTCTATGAGTACGTTCACATAAAAAATTTTTGACACTATTCCAAGTAATATGTTGGGCAGCTCTCATCTTTTATGCTTTGCCTAGCAACAGTCGCTTTGTTTATTAGAGAGAAACACTGAAAGCAAAGCGTTCATTGCGACATACCCTATGTTTTCTGCACTTCGATGTTTCAGCATGGATAATATGATACGAGACTCTGGCTTTGGCTCTCATTTTTCTCAAACACGTTCCCTGATTATTTGACAGTGAAGGAGATCAGGGAATTTCGATCAGCTGATTTCTGAAAAGGCGGGATGCCAGAAGTAAACCACTATAATTACCTGACGAAATTAATGTGAAATGAAATTTCATTGAATTGTGCGAACATATTTAGGCAAAATAAATGATAATGTAAATTAATTAATGAGTTTGCATTTTAGCATTTATATATGTATGCATTTTCAAAGTGTTTAATTTAGTATTTTATATAATTTATTAAACACCCATTCTAATATTTTTCAGCAGTGGCATCATTGGCAAATGTTATAAAAAATGCGAGTTTTGACGGCTTTCTCTCGAATCAAAGAGTCTCGTATCATATTATCCATGGTTTCAGTATGAACCAGGAATAAAGGGTTCAGCTTATTCCAGTGTGAGGGCGCCTCAAAGTAAGCGTTTTTTATAACATTTTTCATTATGGCCAGATCGAACAAAATAAGAATTTTTGGGCATTTTAAATTAAAATACCCAACATTTAGTACGAATAAAAATTACTATATAGTGGTTATTGATTATATCGAGAAACTATTTAAATTTTTTTAAATTATATTAGAACAACTGACTTTTGACCTTTGACTTTTTTTTTGACCAATAAAAGGATTTAAACTTGTTAGCTCTTAATCATTAAATGTTTTTAATCATTTTCCATTGAAAATAATACTATGATGCTTCAAATTACAAAACGTTTCATCAAATACCTTTAAATTTCACAAATTCATTTAATTTTCATTGTTTTACATTTTTATAAGTGGTCTTGAACGATGCAAGAAATCCCTATGTTTACATATTTTTTTGGTAGGATTTCAATCTGGCCATCGCTCGTTTCCAATTAATAAACGTCAGAACCTACTGAATGATTAGCTGTCAAAGTTCAGTAGGTTTTGACGTTTAGCAATTGCTCTCTCACTTGCGATGAGAGAAGAGTTAAACATCTCTTTATCTCTGGTACAGGTTTACCTCACGTCAGGAGCATACGTATTCCAAAGTTGTTGCCTAAACGAAACCTAACTTTAAGTCATAGATACACATATTCCTTCTTTTTGAGTATTCTAAGTGGAGAAAAGTTCAAAAAAAATCTACATTGCTTTTCGAGTTATACAATGTCTAACTAACTCTATTTTGTTTCATCTATTTCGATTTATTTCTTAAGAATCCCGAACTAGATGTTCCCGCATATTAAAATATATTTTTGTACAGTTGCATACAAAATTTATGAAACAATTATTTTCGATTAAAAATTGTAATTTTGAACACCTTTCATAGTATATTTGCATTAGAAATGTACGGCCTTTATACAAGCTAAGACATGCATAATTTCAATTGAGTAAGATTGTTTTCCATTAGAATCAATGCAGCGCATGCACGAATTCAAGAAAAATATTATAAGTGTTTATCAAAAATATATACATATGTACATATTTGCATACATACATACATATGTACATATCTATACATTTCCGAACGTAAGTAAAACAGAAGTAGACAGGCGAGACAAAGCAAGAACAAAAAGACAAGTAGACAGGCAATTTATGACGTGAGTCGATCGCCGATCGCAATGGTGGGTGCAGGAATAAGTGACTGACTGACAGAGAGACAGACTCGGTATAACTGGTTATTTAGTGAATAGCTGGCACATGTACGAGTGTTGCTTACGTGCGACTGACCGAGCGATCTCTGGTAGCACCCGCACCTCGTATTCTCGCTTATAAATACGTATCATACATACATATATACAGTATGTATTACTTTCATGTAAAAAACTGTAAAACGGACTCGGCTGCTTACCGCACTCGAAATTTGTACTAAAGTATGCGTCACACATGCGCAAACGGAGGCTAATAAAAATACATACGTACAAACGAACAAATCGACTTGAACACTTTTTACTAGAAGCAACGACAAAGTCAACTAGCCAGCTAGATATCGAGCCACAGTAAAATTATAAATAGAAGGGGACTGCAATATAAAATAAAAACTAGACAGGAAATAGAAACAGAGTGCGGGTGAGCCAACCGTTGAACGAACTTAGGAAAGAGAATCCGGGACAGAGTGGTGTCAGAAGAAGTAACAACTTGTAAGTAAATAAATGTTTATGCGAAAATTGCGATACAAGTCAGTACAGGAAATGACAATTGATGACCCACGTCGCGACGTTGGCGACGCAGTAAAACAGCAATCGGCAATCGGTAATCACCACACAACTCTCTAAAGCAATATCTATAATAAATGTTGTACATAGGAGCACATGCATATTTCCATATGAATGTATGTACTTAAGTATTTATAGTGCAAGTCAACTTCTCCCGAATTACACATACATATGTACATAGGTATGTATATGTGCATACATATCGGCATGTGGGTAAACATTTTCCTGCAATTATACATATGTATGTATAGTATGTACTTCATTCCCACAAATAATTATTTTTCTTTGCTCCTTGATCTTCAGGCAACAAATAGGAACACACGGCTGACAAATATGTACCTTTGCAATCTCAAATAATTTTGTTCGACTAATTGTGTCGTTGGCATTCCAGTTTCATGCTGGTCATTATGTCACACCCATAATTGGGTTATCAGAGCGAATTGATGAACAGAAAATGTGTTTGCGGTAAGCGTGTAGGCAGAGAGGTAGATAGATGCATAGCCGGATAGATAGAATAATGAATGCTCAATAAATACATATATACATACATATGTATGTATGTATATACAGATATGAAATAACCGGTTACTGTATGACGGGTTGTTCAATTGAAGAAAACAGCTGATTTGATTTTTCAAAGAGACAGAAATACATATTGGAATAAGAACACTACGAAGATATTTTCGAAACATCTTTGACATTATTAAATTTTTCTAAATAATTATTTAACACGAATGCTTACAAAAGTGAGTAAGTAAAAGCAATGCTTTTTTCCGAAAGTGATTCGTGACAATACAAATACAATTTTTTTAGTGACTCCTACATATTTAATAAAAGAATGTATTATTTATGTTAGCTTTAAAATATAGTAAGTCTCCATAAATAACATTTAGTATAATTATTTTTGGTATTATTGGATACATATTCTATCCAATAGAAATAAAATTATCAAGTCAAGGTTTTTCTTCAAAATAGTATACAGGTAATTCATAAAGTTGAAGTTTTAAAAACGCTTTATTGGCCGATTTTATTTTGGATTCCTTTAATTATGATTAGTATTACTTAGGGTGTAAATTACGTTTAATCAGTAAATACTCTTAAGCTGTCACTCACCTTTTAGGTTTCAGCAATCGCGTTTGGTATATACTATCAATATGAAATTTCCGTCACAGTTTAAATTAATTAAATTTTTTAATCGCACTTTATTTTTATTTACGTATAATTTTAACAATTTTCGTTTTACTTTTAAATATACATATATTCGCCTTCAATTTCAGCATTACAATATTATTCCATTAACTTTATTATTATTTGTTGTTTTTTGCTTTTGCAATAACGAATTCATTACAAATTATTTTCTTTTGGTTGCGACTCAAAAACTTGACTGCTTTGAATTGAATTTTAAACACAAAATTTAGTTTCCAACAATTTTAAGAGCACTGATATTTCGAATTTGAACACTTTTTGCCTTAAATTTTTTACTCTCTATTATTTTTTCATGCAGATCATCGCTCTTTCTAGTTTTCAACGAACATATGTTGCATAAATGTCACTCTTAATTAGGTAGAAAACATTTAATCATTTCATTTCATTTGGGAGGTAAGGGACGAGTGTTTTTAATATTCCGCACTTTTTGTGAATGACAGCGCGAGATTGTTGCGGATTTACACGTTTACGTTGTATTTTAGTTTTATTTATTTATAATTTTTCCTGTGTTCACACCACTCATACACACCCACGTACAAAGTTTCTCCCGCACCGCTCCCCGTTATCGAATTATTTCGGTTGTCGTTCGTCGCGCGCAGTTCACTTTTCGCGCGTCATATCCAAAAGCAAAACAAACAAACGCTCGGTTCGATGAATGCGTTTTCCACAATTTTGCTGTGGCAACGTTTTCTTTGTTTTTATTTGATCGCTTTTGTTGCCGTTTTCCACTGCAAAAGCAATTTATTTGGAAAACCATAAACGAAATAACGTTTGCCGACGAATGTGATAAAATATTTTTGTAGCTACGTTTTTTTGCTATTGTGCTTATCGGTCTCAGCTTTTTATTATTTTATGTTTTACACAAATACAAAGCGAACAGAAAACCAATTTAGTTTTTCCATAAGCGGAACGCACTTTTCCCGTTTGCACACTTCGCAATTTCGTCACCACAAACGAATATGGAGCCAGCAATCTTTGCTCAATCATTTATTTAATACTTTGATTTTTTTTAATTTCTAACTATTTTTGTTCACTTTTTCTAATACACGTCTTGAACTTCACAGTACAGCGTGTAATTTCACTTAAATTTGGCTTGATTTGCTTTTCAAAAACTTCAACACAAACAACACATTTAATCCTCTTTATTTAGCTCAAACAATGAATTCGTTTATTCAGCACATGCTTGTTTTCACTACTTGGTGTAATCACACACGTATTTACCGCTATACAAACCCAACAATCGTTTGCATTTATTCGCACTTTGCAAAGAAGTCGTTAAATGTATTTTTTTCGCATTTGCTTGCACACTAAAACTTCTTATCGCACAACTAGACTTCGTTCGTACTTTCTATACAATAACAACGAAGTTATATCTGGTTGAAATTTCCACTACGCGACCATACACTATCCGACCGATCGAATTGTACGATGTTCGTTGGCAACATTGCCGACAGTGACTAACATGGCATCACCAACCCGACTCAATACGAACTATCGGTTCGATCCGGCAACTGCGATCGAACATTTTTGCAGCATGATGCCGGCCAAACGAGCGCTTATAGCATGTTTACTCACACCACGCAACGAAGCGACTACGTTGTAAGTTCAAGTTGTAGCTGAAATAGACGTTGTGTTGCAACTTGCAACTTGTTAAAGGTCTAGGAAAAACTGGTATAAAGTTTAACGTATGTATATGTTTGATCAAGCGCAGCTAATGTAATATTAATAATCATTAATCAGTCCAATATTATTTTGAAAAAAATTTAGTTTAAGTGGACAAAAATATATATGATTACTTTAGTAAACACAACTATATATGTATGCATGTAATAAATATATTTTTGGTTGTTTTAATCGAAAGTTTATCACTGTTATAATGGCCTGCTAGAATCGGAAACCCAACCGAAAAAACGTCGTATTCAATCCTTTTGATAGTATTTATTTATTAATTTTTGTTTTTATATTTTCATATTTTTTTTAGTTTTTACTGCAGATGATCATGGCCTCGCTTGTTTATGTACTACTCACTGTTGCGAATATTGCAATCAAAACAGAAACCCCAAACAATTAATTGCAGCGGTTGTGTGACCAACGAAAGTCAACATCTGTTTTGTTGTTGTTGTTGATGTCTGTTACTGTGATAGTGTTTCATAAACCGATGCTCCTTCTTATTCATTGTGGTGAACGTGATCGTTGTGGCACGATTTCGTTTAGCTGCCGTGGACTACTAATATAAAAAGGCTAAGTAATAGTTTTTTCTGTCATTGCACTCGGTCTATGATAGCAGTTGCATGCAATTCTTTGAAATAAATTCAAGAATCATAATGAGTCCAGCGTTCTTTGAATTATATCAATTCTATACACTCATTAATCTCTTACTAATATTCATACCTTGGCAATTAGTTTTATATGTATACGGTGACAGGCTTTGATATTTTAAAGTCATCTGGCTAAAATTTCAGCTGGTAACAGTTGCACATATAATCTGTGCAATTTTTAATTTGCTAGTTGAAACGCAGAGACTCAAGATTGTATTTCGTACTGATCAAGCGAACATTAGTTTTGAATCAAATTGATTCGAAAAGATTACGTTACAGTTCTGCTAGGAACTACAGTCGCAATTAAGCTCTTTCTGAAATATGATGTGATTTTTCTCTTTTTTTCTTGTTGTTTTTTGTTCTGTGGTCATAACTTAAATATATGTAGTAGTCTTTATACAATAATTCTATATTATTCCTATTTACAGGTAAAAATCAATATTTTAAATGTCCTTCCTGAGAAAAAAATTTAATGTTAAATTTCACGTAAAAACTGTTATTTCAAGTAACATAATTCCAGGATACATTTAAAACGATTTAGTAATTTACAAGAATCTGGAGAAAAGTCATTTTTTCGATTGATTATACATAAGTATCGAGGACTAGGAGTGCCTGCTGAGTGGACGCTGAAAGCCATGCCGTGCGCAAAGTGGATTTCGATTAGCGCTGCTCGATTTTAAGTAAGGCAGAGTACTTATCTGTTATACTGTTTGCTTCTGTTCTATTTCTTGTTCGTAATAGTTTCGTTTCGCAAAGGAATTAGTTCGATTGTCATTTTATTTAAAATAAGAAATTTTCTTAATTAATGAATGGTTTGCGCATAAAAAAAATATGACGCAAAACAATAGGACAGAGATGAAAAAATTGCCATAATAAATTTGACCTTGAATATTTTAATAGCGGGTATGTAATAAATTCTGATGGATTTGGGATTATGGTTATAAGTTTTCCATTTAAAATATTAATAACGGATATTCTAAATATTGCTCAATCACATTCATGTAAATTCCTTGTAAGAGAACCAACATAAAATGTACTAAGCAACACGCAAGTCGGCGCTGAAAAACGCTTCAAAAGTGGATTCTCGAGTTGATCAGCTTCGGCGTCGACTTTGGTCAACATTCACTCTGCTGTTCCTGTGTAATTTTGTATGAAAATGTACGCACACAGATTTGAAGCTGATTTCTCAATTTCATCAGCTTTGCTCTCGGCTCGGCTTTAAACGGCCACTCTGCAGGCATCCTAAGTTCCAGTGTGATCGAAATGAGATACTTATGTATATGTTTAATAATTAATGAGGCCAAAAAGTCAACGTATTATATGAATTCTCACAGATAGCTTCAAGAGCTTTTGAAATACATATTCTCGCAAATACAAAGTGTACAGTACCATAAAAAATCTACAATGAATACTCTTCCTTCTCTCCGGCAATAGAAATCATCACAGGCACGCTTTATACCTACCCAGAAAATTTCCGTGCGTACAAGGCACTCATTGCTGCCCAGTACTCTGGAGCACATGTCAAAATAGCCGAGCTTCGTTTTCGGTGAGATGAACAAATCTGCCGAATTTCTGAAAAAGTTCCCTAGTGGCAAGATGCCTGCTTGGTAAGTACATGTCCGAGTCGAATGCCATAGCTTTCTATGTAGCTAATGAACAGTTGCGCGGTGGTAAATGCCCATTGGCTCAGGCTGAAGTCTTGCAGTGGTTATCTTATGCTGACAATGAGATTGTTCCAGCATCCTGCTCATGGGTCTTCCCATTGTTGGGCATTATGCCACAACAGAAGAACAGTACCGCCAAACAGGACGCCACAGCCATTCGAAGTGTGTGGAACAACAAGCTGATAAATAGCACGTTCTTGGTCGGTGAACGTATCACACTAGCTGACATTGTCGTCCTTAGCAGCCTGTTGCACTTGTACCAGTATATTTTGGAACCAAGAGTACGCGCTGAGACAGCGCTTTTATTCGATCCGAAAAAATATTCTGAATTCATTGGTAAAACTGGCGGTGCCAGCGATAAGAAAAAACAAGCTAAGGCGAAGGAAGAGAAGAATCCGAAAGAAGAAAAGAAGAAGGAGGAGAAACCCAAGGAAAAATTAGATGCTGCTGAGGAAGCACTTCTGGCTGAACCCAAGTCCAAGGATCCCTTCGATGCAATGCCCAAAGGAACTTTCAACTTCGATGACTTCAAACGTTCTTACTCCAACGAGGATGAGTCTGTATCCATTCCTTATTTCTGGCAAAAATTCGATCCGGATTCCATCTGGTTCGGAAAATGTAAATACAACGAGGAGCTGAGCAAGGTACTCATGTCATGCAATCTCATCCCTGGTATGTTTCAACGGTTGGATAAGATGAGTAAGCAAGCTTTTGCCTCAGTGTGCCTCTTTGGCGAGGAAAATAACAGCACCATCTCCGGAGTTTGGGTGTGGCGCGGATAAGTTTTGGCTTTCCTTCTTTCACCCGACTGGCAAATTGCATACGTCTGCTACTCGTGGAAGAAACTCGACGCCAGCTCCGAAGAAACCAAATGGTTGGTGCAACAGTACTTCTCATGGACAAATTTGACGATTCAAATAATTGAAAAACAAAACAAAAATATTGATTTTTTTTTGAAATTTTTTTTTTGAAAAAAAAAAATAAATTTTTTTGAACTTTTGAAAAAAAAGTTATTTATTGAATTGTCCAATTTTCCGACTTTTCCTCAAGAAAAGTATACGTTTTTTTTTTTCTAAACCTTCCCCGATCCACAGCGAAAACCCTCTGAAAATTTCATGAAGATTGGTTCAGCCGTTCTAGAGCATTAGCTTTACTAAAAAACAAACATTCATTCGTTTATAGAGGGAAAAATTCGATCTTTTGGCGCCGTAAAAACCATCTTTGAACCTTAACGAATATTTAGTAAAAAGAATTGGCTAAAATGGTCCAGCCGTTGTTGTGTTATGCGCTTAGCAGCACATTTTGCGATTCATTTTATATACATACTAGCTGACCCCGCAGCCGTTGTTCTGAATGAAATTATATGTTTTGAAATGAAAAGAAAGTTGAATTTATCATTTCATATTTTTTTTTTCAATGTAACGCAGCTCGATAAATAACATTTTTGGTTTCTGTTCCGGTGTACAGAAAAGATGGTTTTGCAACTCTGGCCGTGTGAAAAACATAGCATTTCCAAATTTATGCCACACACTATGCGACTATCCTTATCTCCTGTTGATTGTCATTTCAAATGTAATTTTCACTGGGAACGGAATACGTTAGAACTCAAAGGAATTCGTAGAATTAAAATGCTTGATTCTACGAATTCCCCTTGTATTCGATAGGTGCGTCATAACCAGTAGTGTTCCAATGACAGATCTAAATTTGAGACGCAAATAATGTGGTGCCATACCAAGCCTCTCCAACGAATTTAGAAATCCCACTGGATAATTCACGGCGTCGCCTTTATTGCCAAGACGATTGATCGATTTATATGAGCGCAAACCTCCCGGAATTTGTCTTCGAATCTTCCAGTTTAGGTCAATAACATCGGTATTTTTGGCAGCTATCCTCGTTACGATAATTTGGCTGATGTCCGAACGTTCGTGATGAGTTTATCTTTCCTGAATTGATAAACGGCAGATGAAATTGATAACAAAACAACGGAAGTATCAACCGGAATTGACCCATTTCCAATTCTTAGCGAATACGATGTAAAATGTCTTCAGTAATGCCATTTTTGTTCGTATCCTATAACTGACGCGGATTTGAAGGCTGATATGTCGCAATAATCATCGCGAAAAGTTCACGAACTTCATTTGCATTCGAAGTAGCTATCGAATCGTCCATTGTTTGATTCCAGTGATTATCATGTTCCAGCAATTGTAATTGCTGGCTTGCTTTTCCAAAACTTGCACTCACCGTACCATTCACAGTACGGAATGATTCAAATAAAGTTGAATCGCGTACATTAATAAATAGCAACCGAAGTTAGAAGCAATCGTCGTTTTTCGGGTGGATTGTTTAAATTCATCCTAATGCATTAGTTGAGAACACAGGATGTCCATCTACTGGTTGGCCTTACTTTCTGCGAAATTATTTCTTCAACATTGCATTCCATTTATAATATCAAGGTATTTCCG